CTGTGACTGGAATCTCCACGAAAGCAAGTAATGATGCTTTTGAAGTGGATCCCAGTGCTGCTGTCTGTAGAGCTTTTGATGACAGAAAACATTCTTAATTCTCCCCCTAAAAGCTTGAGTTGAGCTCATTTCCTTGATAAACCTCGCTTAGCTTCCACTCTAAATTTAGGCCTTTCAAAAGTTGCCTAGAAGCTACGTAAAAGTTCTGGATTTTGCTGTGCTCCTTTTCAATAACGTCCGTTTCGCATGTAACCGTGGAAGAAGGTACCCGAGCTCATGAACTGATTTGAATTTGGCTGCTTCTGCCCCTTTCTGTTTGTGGAGATTCCATGCTCGCGGGCCCTCTCCGATCATCGGCTGCTTAATGTGCCGTGCTTTCTGCGTTAAGGGGGAATCGCCGCAGGAGGCAGCGGGAAGGGACGAGGAGCGAAGCGCAAGCAGCAGGACGGAGGGACCACGGGAACAGCCAAGAAAACCAGAAGGTAGGAGGAAAGATGATGCGGTGGCCCAGCGATGAGCATCTACAGCGAGGTGTTGCACGTGAGGCAGAGGGACAGCTTTGCTTTTGATGCTGCCTCCTGCCTCTCTCTGCCCTTGGTAGATTTATGGGGAATCATGCCATAACCCTGCGATGTTATTGATGGATCACGTGCTAGAAATTCCTTGAAATAGATGAGTCTAGGCTCGTTTCCTCGATGAGTATCTGCTCATTTCGCATAGACTCTTGGAAGCCAAGCGGTGTGCAAGCCGCGAGCGCTGCAGGTACAGCTCTGTAAGAGCTTGTCCTGGGCTGACTTGTGACTGAACCGTAGCCACCGTGAGATGCCAACCTGTAGTTTTTGTGTTTCACAGTGACCCGTTGTTTTCCGCTCAGCGCTTACCACCCCACGGTTATCCTTTGGAACACCCCTTTAATAAAGACGGATATCGCTACATCTTGGCTGAGCCTGACCCCCACGCACCTGACCCAGAAAAACTGGAGCTAGACTGTTGGGCAGGAAAGCCTATTCCTGGGGACCTCTACAGAGCCTGCCTGTACGAACGAGTCCTCCTAGCACTGCACGACCGAGGTACAAAGCTTGCGAATCGTATGCCGGTTGTATAGCCAGCTCTTCTTATGCTGGCCGTCTTCTGGAACCTCGTATTACCGGTTATCGAAGTTTCAGACTTCATTGCTGTAAGAGGTGCAAATGTTAAATCCGCTTCTGTATGTTCGCTTGCCTTTTGGCATCACCGCATGTTAGAAATCGCAGACGAGCCGCTCATATCTTCTTCTCTCACCTACCGCAGCTCCTCAGTTAAAGATTTCTGACGACAGACTGACCGTTATCGGCGAGAAGGGCTATTCGATGGTACGAGCCTCGCACGGAGTGCGGAAAGGAGCGTGGTACTTTGAAATATCCATGGATGAGATGCCTCCGGACACAGCTGCCAGATTAGGCTGGTCACAGCCATTAGGTAAAGAATTTTACCAAATATTTCTTAGCAGTGGCTTCCAACTGGTTCCTGTGTTTCTTTCCCCAGTAATTTAGACCTAAGGAGGGTAAGTGGTGGTCAGCTTGCCTGCTTCTTCACTGCTTTTCTGAAGGGGAAACTCTTTCTGCAGGCGATGAAAACCATGCAGAACTGCAGTACGGGTGGATCCTTTGTGCTGTTGCACGCTTGGCCTCGCTTAACGCTGTAGTCGACGCGTTTGTACTAATGGCAGTCGTATTCGTTAACCGAATGTCATTACTGTTCCAAAACTTGAAGCGGGACGCGCAGAGGTGCTCCTGCTACGCTGTGTGTGTTCACGAAGAACCGTTGGTTTCCGCAGGGAACCTCCAGGCGCCTCTGGGATACGACAAGTTCAGTTACTCCTGGCGCAGCAAAAAGGGAACAAAGTTTCACCAGTCGATAGGGAAACACTATTCATCTGGCTACGGACAGGGCGATATACTGGGATTTTACATCAGTCTTCCAGAAGACACGGAGACTGCCAAATCACTGCCCGACACCTACAAAGATAAGGTGAGGTGTGGAGTTCGCTGTCGGATTAAGTGGACAACGGGTTGCTGTAGCCTCGCTTTTGCCCCCTTTGAGTGCATCCTTTCCATCCTGCCTCTGGGTACCGCTGTGGTTCGTAGCGCGGAGGTCCAAAGCGTTGATCTCGAGAAAACGAAATACCCAGAGCCACCCAGAGGTTCTGCAGGGGAAGACTCTGCACGGGCGACTGAACGAGATTGCCCACGTCTCGTTTGGTAGCCTCTTCCCCTCCTCGTTCTCAAATAGTTGAGATGTGTGAATCACTCTTCACGGGTACTCTGACCCAAGAGGCACGCCTATCCCAGAGCGGGGCTGCTGTCGCTCTGCCGGTCCTTAATATGTCACTAAAGGTAACCGTTTTTCTGGCTTACTTCTGAAGTGGTTGTTTTCTAATATTTCAGGCTTTGATCAAGTTCAAAAGCTACTTGTACTTTGAAGAGAAGGACTTTGTGGACAAAGCAGAGAAGAGCCTAAAGCAAGCGCCCGGAAGCCAGGTAAGTTAAGCGTTGGTAGGTGGAGGATGCAGAACTTCAATGCATTTAACGAGCACAAAGGGCGGCTGATGGTTAGTTCTTCATCAAAAACAAGCGTGCTTTTATTAAAGCAACAATAGATGTGAACTTAGCAAACCCTTTGCGTGCAGTGGTAGCGCTGCCACTTACTTACTTAAGTCATAACCTACGCTCCCCTTTGTCTGGCAGCAGGTAAAGCGGCCTCTTGAGGCTTGCTGTGTAGTGCACGAGCATGGGCCTGAAAGTGAGCATCAACGGAAAAAAAACCCAAAACCCTCTTTGTTTTTCTCTTCAGATAATATTCTTCAAGAACGGTGCCAGCCAAGGAATTGCCTTTAAAGACATCTTTGAAGGAGTTTATTTTCCTGCTATTTCTTTGTACAAAGGCTGCACGGTAAGTCACATGTCTTGGAATTATCATTCCAAGTCTGTCATGGTTTTAGTAATGCACAGAGCAGGGGCACTTTGGGAGGGTGTCAAGCAAGTGAAAACGGGAATTATTTTAGTGAAGCGACTCTGGAACGCCGCTGCTGTTACATTATCGAACCGCTGCACGAATGCTCTCCTTTCACGCGGTCTTGCGCAGGGTGCGGGTAGGAGGGGATGAGGACTGAAGACATTCACCTGCTTGCTTATTTTTTTTCCTCTGATCTAATGACAAATGTGTCTTCCCCAGGTTTCTATAAACTTTGGGCCGTATTTCAAGTATCCACCTAGAGATATCACTTACCGGCCGGTAAGTAATAACTGAAGCTCTTTTGTTTAAATACTGTGAGGCTATTGCAAAGTGAGGGGGGAAAAGGTGGTCAAGCCCTTGTGGTGGGAGTTGATTTATACCAAACCTGTGTCTGTTCTCTTCAGTCTTTGTACTTGGGTAGTGTAGCCAAAAGGATTGTATGTAAGGACAGATAGGTCAGTTATCCTCTGTCAAGAGGAACAAGTTAAATTAGACTAGTCTAAAATCCCTGTTCTTGCCCTCTTACTGATCAAAGGGGGGAATTTCCAAGAATTCAGCCCTAACCCCAATGTTTTCAGGAGGGAAGCAGACCTGGAATGCTGCTGTACAGCAGCGCTAGTCACTCTTTTTGTCCTGAGCCAGTGCTCCAGCTGACTGTCTGTCCCTTTGCAGATGAGTGACATGGGCTGGGGTGCTGTCGTCGAACACACGCTGGCGGACGTCCTGTATCACGTAGAGACAGAAGTTGATGGGAGACGAAGCCCGCCCTGGGAGCCGTAAACAGAGCAGGCGGCGCAGCGTTAACAAAACTGACGCCGTGGGTATCCAGTCAAGTGGTTTTTATTACAGAGGAACGCGCATCACTCGGAGCGATCAGCCAACACCGCAGCTCCTGCGGGCAGGCGCTATGTCTATTTGTTACCTGCTGAAGATTCCCACTATGCTGGAGTCTAAGCGAAGGCAGCTTGGTATGTATTGTGCTATTTGTGGGCATCTCTTGGAGTCTTCAGTAACTTTTACAGTGTAGCTAGCTGAAGAGGCAAGTGTTGTGTTGAGGTAACTTCTCCTGTGATGTGCCTGGGCTGTAACAGTTGTTTGTTCAGCAAGAGCAGGCTGCAGTTGGAGCTCCCTGCTGTAGGTACACTCGCAGAAGCAGCAACGCTGACACTTCTGCTCAACTGTCTAATTGTAAACACCAGCTTCCAGCCAGGAGGATTGTGCTGTTACAAGACTACTGCATGCAAGACTGCCTCTTGGACAGAAGCCCAAATTTCATTCCCTTCCCCCCCCCCCCCCCCCCAAACTGGAAACCAGTTTAAAAATAAAGGCTTTAACTCTTTTTCTTTGGTGTTTGGTGGTTGTTTTTTTGTCTTGTGCTGACTGGGATTTAAACCTGAAGTAGCTCCACTTGGGAGATCTCCCCTCCTGCTCACTGCATTGACAAGTTACACAGCTGTGAGTGAATAAATACTCTGACGCTTTTTGTGCGTGCGTGCCTGCCTGCCGTACAGGAAAAATAAATTAGAGCTGCTTCCCTGCAGGGAGTAGCATTTCTGGTGGCCCAAGAAGTGCTGCATTTGTGGGGGGGGGTAAAAAAAATTTTGAGGTAAAGTCCTGCGTTCGCCCCACTGAGCATGTGCTGGGCCTCCTGCCTTCCCAGCCAGGTGTCTGGGAGCTCCCTATAACTAATTAGCCAAGGCTTTATTAATAGTAGACACCACTCATTAGAGCTCTGGTCCTTTACTGAAACTAAAGGAGTTTGGGAGGCTGCAGGGGCCAGCACATGCAGGACCTGACCCCCAACTTGTTGGTCCTGCCTTTGCCCAGTGAGCATGTGCTGGCCCCTGCAGCCTCCCAAACTCCTTTAGTGTCTGTATTTAAGCTTTTTTAGTGTCTATATTAATAAAATTTACTATTTAGTAGGTACCACTAAAGGCCTTGGCTAATTAAATTGCGTCTGACTTACCCCACCCCTGCCCAAAGCACTACACCACTAGCCCGTGCGGTCAGCAGTCCACGGCCACTGTCTGGGCCAGGCGCTCCCGGAGGTGGTTGGCAAAGTCGACCTGCGTCTGGGACAGCACCTGGTTGATGATGGTCTTCGGCAGCCAGCCCTGGAGAGGAGCAGACGCAGCCCGTGAGCCGAACTCGGCTCAAATGCAAATCCGGCTTCGAAACCTTCGCCGCACAGCTTACCTTCAGGTCGATGCTGAGGAGCCACGTTAGCTTGGTCCGCGAAGGGCTGCCGGGCAGCGGGCGCAGGATCATGCACGTGGGGCCGTTCTCAGCTCTGCAGGAGCGCACGGGTTAGAAAGCAACATCTGACTTTGACTTTTGAGGCTAAAAAGCCGTGCTGAAGCGCTTTGGGAATTGCATTCCTGCCACCAGCCTAATTCCTCTGAGCCCATACCAAAAGCTCGCGTGCGAATCCGACTCGTTAAACACCCTGTAAGTGAACGCACACGGCGGTTACCTTACAAATCCCTCCTGCTCCGGCATAGCGCCGTATTGCGTGGCCATGCCGGCCAGGACGCAGGTGGAGCCACGTCTCCTGGAGCACCGGACGCTCACAAAGTCCCGCGGTCCGACAATGTTCCCGGGGGTAGCGGCCGCCTTCTCGTGGGTGATCACTGTGTCCTTTCCAATCTTCTGGAGAATCTGGGCAGTTCAGAATTAAAAATGTTACTTTGGGGTATTTACTGCAAACTTTAGCTAAAAGCTAGCTGTGATGACTGCGTGTTCAAACACGTGCTCTTACAAAAACAACTCTACAGTGAGAAAAATTGCAAAACGTGCTTCATCCCAGAATACGGAACATCAGGTTTCAACTCCTGCAACGGGAAGGGGTTTCTCTCATTCCAGACAAGCTGTGGAACACCAAAATGCTCTTCCCTGCACGTTGGGGTACGTGCGATCTCTCCTCCAGTAACAGTACACGTTTACCAACAGAGCTGGCGCGTTCCCTACGGAATGAATAAGCAGCAGACAAGCCGTTGCTGCTGCAGCAGCAACGCGATGACCGCAGGGCGAGCCCTATCTTCCCTACTGCGGGAGGAAAGCCTGGCTTCTCATTTCCCGAAGAACGGGTGGAGAAATCCCTGTGCTGCCATGGGCAAAGCGATGCTTTGGCCCTTCCGACACCAGACAAAGCAGCGAACCCCCGCGCTTCCTACCTTGACTTCTTCGACGTTGGGATTCCAGTCTCCCATCTGCTCCATGTTGTCCACCAGCTCGCCGTACACTGCGTCCAGGGGCTGGTCCACCACCACCTCGAGCCGGAACACCTTCCCCACGTCCGGGAGCACCTTGCTCAGCACTTTGTCTCCGTTATCCTGGGAGAGGGGAAGGTAGAATTAAATATCCCAAATATTTACAGGAGGACCGTGTCGTTCTGCTGCAAAGCAGAGCGCCTACCACCACCGTCTCCGTCTTCCAGCCGTCCTGGTCCTCGAGGATGCTGAGCGATTTCTGGAGGGCTTCCTCTCCTTGCTTGATGTAAGACATTTCCATCTCGCTGAAGGGCTTCTCCTCCAGCCTCGAGCCTGCACGGGATCAGGCAAAAGCAGGAGTGAGTGCAAGAACATCGCCCAGCCGACTTAACACATCGTCACACCAGAGCAGCTTTACCTGCATCAAATACGCTTCTCCGTGCCCAAGGGCTGGGGAAGTAAACTCAATTCCCTGCCTTCGCCGTTTGTTCGGCAAAAGCACGGGCGACCCACGAGCAGGTTTTCCTCCCTGAGCCCTGACCCATGACGGTCACCACCCAGCAGAAAGCGCCAGACCCCCCCCCGTCTGCCGGTCACTTACTGAGCAAGGAGCTTCTTCTGCGAACCTGGTGAATCCACGTGCCGGGTCCCGTGCCGCGGCAGGCGAGCTTGCTCAGCTCTTGGCTGATGGTGACGGCGGCTTGTCTTCTCAGACCTGAGAGCAGAGAGCGCGTCACTCACCGGCTGCTGCTGGGCTTTGCTCTTTTTTTTTTTTTTTTTTTTTTTCAATTTAAACGTACAACATCATTGAAAAAAATCTCTGCTTGTCTCCTTTGACCTGCTACCTTCGCTGAAGTCCCTACAGGCACAGAGAGCAGCTGACTGCCATTGCACCGCTGCGGGACAAAAGCTGCCCTAAGCCGGACTTTGCTGCGGGTCCGAGCCACGCAGCACACGGCGAGCAGAAAACAGTCGTAAAAATACCGAGGAGCAATCGTGCTGGTGCCCAGGAAAGGCTGTAGGCAACGGAGTGAAAGAATACAAAATCCTCACAGCCAGCAGGAGCGCTGCCTACAGCTCCCTCCGCGTTCAGCAATGGCACGCAGCCGCCCCCCTCGGACCCCAGAAATGGGTCTGGTGGCAAAATGGGTCGTGGAGACAGTAAACCACAAAACCCAGAAAGCAACAGGGCATGGGGTGGGGAGAGCGTCCCTGGAGACTCCGGCCTCCGGCGCTGCCCAGTGCAGGCAGCCCGTGGCTGCCCCGGCCCCGCGTCCCGGCCCCCCGCGGCCCTCACCGGTCATGTTGCGCAGGTGCCGGTAGGAGATGGCGGCGCAGAGCTTGAACGTCGCAGGCAGGAACTCCCCGGGTGG